CGGGCACGCTACGCTGGTGCGCTGCGCGGGCCTACGTCACAACGCAGTGCCATTTCCCATTGGGCGCGCGTGACATCCTCCTCTTTTACGAGCTGTGTTGCGCCCGATGATTCGCTCGTCGCGGCAGATGCTCTCAGGCCTTCACGAGAGGTTGACGCGCTGCTTAGCAGGCGGCTTCTCGTTCGAGCGTTCGACTTCGGCCCTTGCCTTGTGCGGGAGTCATAGCGCCATAGGCAAGCGTACTTGCTCGGTCTTGCGAAGTTCCCTATACAACCTGCAAGCCCGTGAGTGTCGCACTGTGCTGCATCTTGGGTTAATAAACCCGTTGTTGTTATCCTGCCTCGTGCGTGGTTTTTGCTCCGTGCCGGAGAAAACGACGAACCCGGCCGCAACGTCTTCGCACGCAGCGGCAGTGGAGGACGTCGCATAGTAGTTAAGCCTTGTGCAAACCTATCTTCACAAGGTACAGTCGCTCGGTGCTTGGGGAAAGTTTTTGTTTTTTTTGAAAGCGTAATCTTTATCTTACAGTGGGAACAATAGCTGTGGTATGTGTCAGAGAACGTCTAGGTGTGCGGTAAAGTGCCTGATTAAATATTTGCCATGCTGGCTGGCTGTTAATCTCGAAGTGAACAAACGTGGCGGCCTGCGCGAGGAACAGCGGCATAGTCTTCAAAAATTTGCAGCGTTGACTGTGGCATGTAGTGTGCGTTGAAAGGCATCGACAATATTGGTTCACCTTTATAGATGGTGAAACTGGGAATATTGTGCGTGGTGTGTGCAAAGTGAATAACGCGATGCGTCTTGTTTGCGAAAACACTAGTATTCGTAGTAGGCCAGTTGTAGTAACCGATTGTCGATGGAACTTTACGATCTGACATTTTAGTGAAGATAAAAATGCATTTGATGCAATAATCTGCGAGTGGGTACATCTCAGCGTATGCACGGTGCGCAGAAAAATAAAAGAGCATGAACTCGAGGTGATATATACGACTATGCACGAGGTATAAGCTTGTTGTAGCGTTGCCGAATCTGCATATATGCTTCACCACGGCTATAACTTGTATTATCGGATACCTGATACATGTGTGAGGAGGTTTATTAGCCGTTAAAGACAGTGACGAGACAGCGTGAAGAAGCGTCCAGCGATCGGCACAGCAACGGACCGAAGCACGAGCCGAGAGAGCCGGGCGTTGGCGATGCTGCTCGCTGCAGGCACATCTTCTTCTTCACACATGTAAATGGAGACAGTGGAGATTTTCGTTTCTTATCTACTTTTTACTTTAATGGCTCGATCCTTATGAAGTGACAATGCTCATTAAAAATTTGTGCATCAGGCCTAAAGGAACAATATGGATATGTGGGGTTTAACGTCTCAAAACCACGATATTGATACGTGAGGAGTTGAAGTTGCAGACGCCGTAGGCAAGTGCGACACAATCGGTTCTGAGCCCGAGACACTTCAACCTCTTCTACATCTAGAAGCGTCCTCTAGTAGACACTGGTACCAACACGTACGTTACATCAACTCCCGCCGGCAAAAGCACCGTCTTGGTGCATCGGGTCAGTGAACGTGACATAGGGCTTGAGGCGGGGAACATGCACAGTCTCAGTAGCTAGTGGGGTGACAAAGTCTTGGGAGTTAGTGGCGAGATCTCGTATGTGGCTTCGGTAACTTGGCGAAGAACTCGGTAAGGCCCGACGTAGCGCGGCAGGAGTTTTTCACTCAAGCCAGCACAACGTGAAGGCAGCACTATGAGCAGTGACCCTTCCGCGACCCTCTTCTTTCAAAGCTGTGACTATAGAACATAGCAATGCAGAAATTTTTGTCGAAGGATTGCAGACATAGAAAGATGCCGTCGCTTGTCAACCAGCATCTGCTCCAAGAGAGGGTATGGTGAGTGGAGTGCCCGCAGTGACGTCACACGTTTACAAACAGGAAGAGGTCTATTCATCACGTGTGTTTGAGTCTGAAAAAGCAGCAGGCTTAGTTTGTTTCCCTTCCTTAGTAGCATGCTCTGGTGCCAATACATTGGGGCAACATTACGCTCTAGCGTTGCCTAAATCTGTCTTTCAGTCTTTTCAAGCATTCCTGGAACATTCTACAGCATACAAGCATTGTTTGAGTAACCTCCTAAATACATAACAATGATGCAACGTTCTTGCAATGCTATTTAAAAGTTGTTTATACGATTCATATATGATGGTGCAACGCTTCTCAACATGACTAAACAGCACATACAACAAAAACAAGAATATAGGCTGGGCTAGATTATAAACCATGAAACTTTGAAGTACTGAAAAAAAAGTTTGTCGAAGTTTGCATTAGAAGTGTGAGGCCAAAATGAAGCTGATCAGTTCCTAGCTGGTCCTGGCCACACGAAGTGATGCCGAATGATGCCAAGTACCAGTTGAGTCCAGGACAGCCACCTCTCGCCGTTTCGGGAGTACTATGTTATGGACTACTTTTAATGAGTCGAGTCCAGCAGTCTCGCTTGTCAGCGCGCCACAATTCCCAGCAAGTGCCTTGCTCATCAGCAAAGTGAACCTTCCTTGGTATTCCTGTCCTTGGTGCTGTGGGCTGCACGTCGCTGCGACCTCATGTATGGCGCGAAACAAGCGGTTGTGCACAGTGGCCATGCAGGCGCACACCTGTGCAAATGGTTGCTAGGCAACGTAAGGTAGCATCATCGCTGAGCACAGATTTTGTTTTTTCATTTGTGCTAGACAGACTACAGCCGGCTTTTACGAATCCACTGTTAAAAAAGAGAGTACAATGAATGGACAAAGTATTGAGCAAACAAATGCAATGTCAAAAGCTGTACATTTACTATTGACATGTGTGTCTATACACTGGTTCCACATGCCGGAAGCCCCCCCCAAAAAATGGATCTTCATAAAATGTTGTGATCACTTTAGCCTTCGAAATGCCTCTTGCATAGGCCAAAAGCTGTGCACTATTTCTCAATCTCTACATTTCTCACACGGATGCACTCTGAAATCAGGCACTAGTGGTGAGCATGAATGGAGTTCCCGAAATGCTACGGTCTGGCCCTGAGATGAAATTTTCTTCGGAGTACACGTTTTGTCATGCCATTCATCTATGTCAGTCAGCATGCAATGCCTCCTTCAGACACCACGAACTCACAGAGTGCTGTCCTGTTTTGCTGTGCCATGGCAAATTCAACCACTTTTTTTGAGCACTACAGTGAACTGTCATTGTCTCCGCTCATTTTCGCAAAAAAAAGTAAAGAATAGCCCCAAGATCGAATAAAAAGCGAAAATTCCAGATGGGACCACACTGATAGCCATTGTACTATTACACAAGGCAGGTAGAAAAGCAAAGTTGATGACAGTGATAGCAACAGGAGTGCACAAAGTTGCTAGAAGACTGTAACGGGTATATACAAATGATATTGTGTGCATATATATATATACATATATATATATATATATATATCATCATCATCATCATCAGCCTGACTACGTCCACTGCAGGACAAAGGCCTCTCCCATGTTCCGCCAGTTAACCCGGTCCTGTGCTTGCTGCTGCCAATTTATACCCGCAAACTTCTTAATCTCATCTGCCCACCTAACCTTCTGTCTCCCCCTAACCCGCTTCCCTTCTCTGGGGACCCAGTCAGTTACCCTTAATGACCAGCGGTTATCCTGTCTACGCGCTACATGCCCTGCCCATGTCCATTTCTTCTTCTTGATTTCAGCTATGATATCCTTAACCCCCGTTTGTTCCCTAATCCACTCTGCTCTCTTCTTGTCTCTTAAGGTTACACCTACCATTTTTCTTTCCATTGCTCGCTGCGTCGTCCTCAATTTAAGCTGAACCCTCTTTGTAAGTCTCCAGGTTTCTGCTCCGTAGCTAAGTACCGGCAAGATACAGCTGTTATATACCTTCCTCTTGAGGGATAGTGGCAATCTACCTGTCATAATTTGAGAGTGCTTGCCGAATGTGCTCCACCCCATTCTTAATCTTCTAGTTACTTCAATCTCGTGGTTCGGCTCTGCGGTTATTACCTGCCCTAAGTAGACATAGTCTTTTACAACTTCAAGTGCACGATTACCTATCTCGAAGCGCTGCTCCTTGCCGAGGTTGTTGTACATTACTTTCGTTTTCTGCAGATTAATTTTAAGACCCACCTTTCTGCTCTCCTTGTCTAACTCCGTAATCATGAGTTGCAATTCGTCCCCCGAGTTACTCAGCAATGCAATGTCATCAGCGAAGCGCAGGTTACTAAGGTATTCTCCATTGACTCTTATCCCTAACTGTTCCCATTCTAGGCTTCTGAAAGCCTCCTGTAAGCACGCGGTAAATAGCATTGGGGAAATTGTGTCCCCCTGCCTTACACCCTTCTTGATTGGTATTCTGTTGCTTTCTTTATGAAGCACTATGGTAGCAGTTGATCCCCTGTAGATTTCTTCCAGAATGTTTATATATACTTCATCTACGCCCTGATTCCGCAGTGTTTGCATGACGGCTGATATTTCTACTGAATCAAACGCCTTCTCGTAATCTATGAAGGCTATTACATATATATACACACACACACACACACATATATATATATATATATATATATATATATATATATATATATATATATATATATATATATATATATATATATATATATATAGAACTTGAAGGGAAGGCACGGCAGGTCCGGGTATTTTCTATATTGAATTAACTTGCAGATAGCACATAAGAAAAGGATCGTATTTACTAACGTTTCGGCCGTGGCACGGCCTTCGTCAGAGTGTATATATATTTTTTTTCGGTTAAAGTTATATTCCCAGTTTTATCGTTGCCCTCAACACTATTTATTAGCTCCGTTGTGGCAATGTTGCATTAAAAGTTCGTGTTGTTAACAGTGGTGGCAATTGTAGCAGATGAGAGTACACCACTGTTGTGTATTGTGCCTTCATCACATAAGTTGTACATGAAAGCAATAAACACAGATTTAACAAACAACAAGAACATAGATTACCTGCTCAGGGCAACAGGGTTGTAAATGTTGGAGGTCTTTCGCTCAATAATTTCCCGCAGAAGATGATGATAGAAATCGTCGTCGTCAAAAACCTCTTCGTCCACACAGCCAGAATTCTGCTCCTGCTGAAAGTAAAATTGCAGGGGACAATCCAAGTGCACAATAATGTTTGTTATAGCAGCTACCTACTCTTACCTTGTCGTTATTCTCTGACTCTTCAGCACCAAGAACCTTATACGAGGAGCGCTTGGTTTGTGTCCTGCGAAGCAGTCTTTCTTCATCCATGAGGATCTGAAGTTTTTATTAGAAGTGGATCAACGAAACCTGCTCACCGACACTGATGGTCAGCAACACGGTTATGTGTAGCATGCATAGCAGTTTGTGCAACAATTAGCTGTCATGTGAGCAACGAAATGGTAATCATCTACACACTGTTTTGGAAGTAAGAGCGAAAGGAAAAAGAACTTGGCTCTTTTTCAATGTTCCCAAACGAGGCAGACTGTATATAAAATTGAATAAAAAGACATGAATGTGTGCAGAAGTTACAGAGAGAGCACTCACGGTCAAAAGGTAAAAGGAAGACGCTGACCAAAAACACTTAGAAAAATAACAGATGTTCCAGCTCTTGTGCATAAATTTTATCTCTTGACAATGATTATACTCGACCAGACAAGTTTCCATCGAACTCTTGATTTCAGAGCAAGCCTCATGTGACCAACATGTTTATTCTGAAGCCAGCCATATTTTAATGAGAGCGAGTCTTCACAAATATAAGACTTGAAATTCACATAAACGCATGCTCACTGTTTGAAATGCTACCTATGCAGCAAGTGGCAGTGCTACATGCTGTTGAAGGCTCACACAATACAGAAAAAGAAAAAAAACGCGCTCCTCTCCAGGTCATTCTAGTGCCACAAACAATCGCCAAGGCGTCAACTGGTGCACCTCGTGATGTCACCAAGATTTACTGGTGGAACAAGAACCTAGTGTCTAGGTTGACCGGTTTTAGTTAGCTATGACTCTCAATATTCGATCATCTCTATTGAGTGAGTTAATCCTTGTGAATTGACAAGCTGACGATATTTTTAGAGCATTTGGTAGAGCACTTCGTTTATATTTGAATATTTTTGTCAACAGGCGAGTGGCCTGATAGTTGAGCAACACTGGCACACTCACAAGCCACAACATAACAAAAAACTAACTGTGCGAGTATCAGTGTTCTGGCGAACAATATTATTTCCTGGCCACCTAGGTGTGAAAATAAGCTACCCAAGCTTTCTTCAGCTGGGCTCTGAAATTTAATGATTTGCAGCAGCTGAAATGTTGTTAAAAGAAGACAGCTCTGCTCCTTGCTATGCATAAAATAACACACATGGTGAATGCCAGTGGGTGAGTTGAGATAAGCAGTGCAAAAAAAAAAGATAGAGTAAAGGAAAGACGAGTGTTTTACTCCGTCTTTGTTTTTTTTTTTGCTGTTTGCCTCGACCATCTGTGAATCGTTACCAACTTGCCCAGTTTTAATTACTACTCAGTGGGTGAGGTTTACAATCTGCAACTTCTCAAGCTTGTTTTGCACGAAAATATTCTTATCTTCAAAAGTGTTATGGCTCGGGCGAGTTGGTTATCTATGAACTTAGCTTCTATTAGCACGGCACATATGAAAATAAAAAGGGGGAAAGACGACAGAAACCTCTAGAAAGGTAGACACCTAAACTTCCAACTGTTTATTTTCTGTCCTTAGCACCCATCTTATACATGCATAAAAACACAACTCATCTTGTAGGTGACGTCATTCCAAAAAACATAATTTCTTCATCCGTAAGTGCAATTGATGGAGAACTCACACACAAGCTTCCCACATCAGCTATAGCTTCAGCTTCTTTAATTTCATGTGTCAGCTGATTCCAAGACCGGCCAATAACGATGCAGCTGTACAGATCAGGGGAGCACTCACAACCTTTGCAGTGCGCTGCTAGAAACCCTCCTGCTTAAAGAAGCTGAAGCTATAGCGGGTATGGGAAACTTGTGGGTGAGTTCGCCATCAACTGCGCTTACGGATAAAAAAATGACGTTTCTTGCAATGACACCACCTGCAAGATGAGTTGTGTTTTTATGCATGTAAAAGATGGATGCTAAGGGCATGAGATAAACAGTCAGAAGTTTAGCGCGTACCTTTATAAACGTTTCTGCCGTCTTCACCACTTTTTCTTTTCATATCTACCACGCTAATACAAGCTAAATTCTTATCTTCCTACTTTTATAGTTTGTACGTGCATAATAGACCCTCTACTTCTAGTTTTCATCTCAAATGGCTTGGCCACTGTGTCATGGCCCGTTTAAATTTGAAATCCGAAGTTAACTAACAAGAAGGACTGACTCTAGTACATGGAGTAAGATAAGAGAGGAGCACCGACTCCACCCCCCCCTCCCCCACGCTTTCACGCGGGACACATCATGCAACGCGCATGCAGTGGTCCAACTCATTCCTTTGCTCTCCTCCTCCATTCCTCTTCCTGCTTTCGCAGATGCTTTCCCCTCTCTCAGCACATATCACAACACATAGTGCCACCTGTCGAGGCACATAGAAACGATTCAGCAGCTGCACTTATGAGCGCATGCGCGAACTGACGGAAACCACCGGTGGCGGCAGGGAGGGGCGAGTGCGGAGCATGTTGTCTACTAGAAAACCGTTTGCTCGGCTGTGTCAGCATGATAAACAAACAAAACGTATTGTAGTGACGTGATGGCATCCGACGTAGACGTGCCGTCAGTGCTAGCTTAATGGAAGGACGAGAGACGTACAGGAAGCAAGCAGCCGAAGTAGAGTGGCGGCTGTGGCGTCCAGCCAGCCAGGAGCCATGAACATTCTTCGCTGCTAGTGCCACGAGCCACCAGCACTCTTCATTTGTTTCTCTAGTCGGCTGGCCGCCACTAGCGCTATGCTACAAGGGCTCCTTGCCTAGCATGTTACGCGATAAAAGATATTAATGTAAAAGTGGTAGGAAAAACATATAAACACTATTTACGAGTGTGTCCATTCCTGTAAGTGCCCATTGGGAAGTCCGAATGTCGCCAGGGTGGAAGCTGTTAGGAGAAGTTCGATAGTTCCGCTGGACGGCACTGGGAACCGCGCAGTGAGCGAGGACCATGATGACTGCGTGTTGCTATGAGCAGCGAGCAAAAAAGAGACGCGCACTCGAAACGCTGGTGGCGAAAGCTGTGTGCATGCCATGGTCAACAACACTCCAAGCTTCGTGCGTTGCAGCTTCTTGAGAACCGACAACAGTGCGTTTGTGAACGACGCTATGTGTGTTTTGGATAGGGCACGAGTCATACACTGGGCATAGACGTGAGGCTGCCTTTCCTGACTTGACGACGGAGGTAATGAGAAAGGGCTGCTGTCCACGACAGTGGATGGTGGCGGTGTTACGGATTGGTCACAGATTGTGAGGCGTAGCTCCTCAAGAAGATCAGACGAATTCGTCGCAAGTAGATCTTGAAAACTCTGGCTGTCACTTGATACGTTGGAAGAGAGTTCGTGATAGGGTAAACTGTCTACGAGTGATGGAGTGGCAGGTGCGGGTGTGTTTATAAATCTGATGCCTTGTGAACAGTGAGAGTGTGCTCAGGGTCCATGTTTCGAGTGGCGTCGCGGGCTTCCTTCCACAGGAGTTGGGACAGGTGTGGAGTCTGCAGGTGGGTCAGCTTGCCGGGCGGCATACCTGCCAAGTTACAGGATTCTGAATCCGGGAGATTTATGCAATGGGAGGAGGGGGGGCACAAAAATAACACCGCGATCAACAACTCACCTGTGTCTTCCTGGGACACACGTGAACGGACGGGACTGCGCAGCTGGCTGCCGCAAAAGCATGGGTCAAAGCTTTGCTCACTGCTAGATTCTTTTGACAAGAACGCCAAAACGTGTCTGGCCCCGTTTTCCCTTTTTATTGCGATAGCAATTATATGAACAGTCCAAGCTTTTTTTTTTTTTGTCATCGCCACCACCCCCGTCATTCCCCTTATATGTATACGTATCTATATAAATGAACACTCAAAGAAAAAAAGCTGCTCGGCGACGAGCTCGTCGTGATGCGCCGACGCGTGCTTATCTCTCACGTGTACATATATATATATAAATGAACACTCAAAGAAAAAAAGCCGCTCGGCGATGAGCTCGTCGTGATGCGCCGACGCGTGCTTATCTCTCACGTGTACTTTGCCCCATGGATGGATGCCTGTGCGCGTGCTTATCCTTTGGTGGGAGAATCGTGTGCCTTTGGCTTTCACTGAAACGAAAGCGTTAGTTGCCGGGCCCACAAAGGTCACTTTGGTCTCTACACAGGCCCCTTTTGCGAAAACAGCGCGCTTCTCATACGCAGCGAGGTATAACTAGGACACTTGTTAGTTTGTACTCATCTGTACATGTGATTACGTATCGTGCATTGGTTTTATTCAAACAGCGCATTACATGTCGAGCGGTAAACGTTGTTAGTTACGATACTCTTGTCCTGCGAATATCGTTTTCGTGCATCATTTGTGTGTAAGCAGCGCGCTGCACGTTTCGATCTGCTTGCCGTTCTCAGCATTACATTCCAAGTTGTCGCTGTCGCATTTATTGCTTCGCACATGCGGCGAAAGTGACTTTTATTTAATTTTTTATGTATTTACTGCCTTTAACCTACCGCTGCGCATGTGCCCTCGTAGATCGCTATCGCGTCGCCGCGACTGCGGTTCAGTTCATTTTACAATCCCCATGCACTTGGCTGCGCACGTCCCTTCAAAGCTAAGCCGTTTTATGCCATCTACGATCACATCTGCCACAATTTTGTCCGCAGGGTTTGTGGAAAGCAGCGTTGCTTTGACTGGTTGAGTGTTGGACACACGCACACTTTCGGGACTCTGTCAGTTACGTCCTTGCCATACATGATCGTGTCAAGAGCGACCGCGGTTTCGACCACAGCAGTTGTGGCAACGAAAATCACACGCACTGTAGAAGACTGTGCGTGCGCCGGTCGCATGTGTACTTCCGAAGCTTCGGGTACGCTGCTCGCCGCCTTCGTTCGACGGTTCCCGTACTAAAGTTCGTATCACCTGCTGCGATTAGGAAATGTGTTCGGAACATTCAAAATGAGGCCCAATGAACATAGTAAAATTTGGCTGGGTAATTTCAAGAATTCATATCTGCCGCGGTTTTGCATCACAGATTATACTGCGTGTTTACATAAACGCTTCTTAAACTTATGTATAATAAAATGAGGTTGGTTCAAAAAGCCTGGCGCGGATTGAGCAGC